ATCATAAAACAGCGTCGTGGAGGATATAAAAAAAAAAAAAAAAAAAAAAAAACGCAAAAAAAAAAAAAAAAAAGTTTTTTAATCAAATCGAAACACCAAATCTATTGATCAAAGTCACCAAAATTCAATCACAAAACCACGAAATCATTAATAATTGCTTAAACAATCTTTAATGATCTCGGGATCTCGTGATTAAATTTTACTAATTTTGAACTCATTAACAAAGCATGTCCGCGGACACGTGATGTTAAACCAACCCTAATTACGTTACACTTGATCTCGAGATTTGATTGGATTTTGTAGTTCCAGTAGTCAAATAACAAAATTTTGGCACATTTGATGAAAAGCAAATTGGAGCGCCATATAAAAAAAAAAAAATTTTTTTAAGCTTATTACAATAATTTTTTAAAAAATAAAGCTGCTAAATTGTAAGATTGAGTAAACTACAAAATAGTAATTTCTTTTTATAAGATTGTTTTAAATTGAACAATTTTGTTTTGAAATTTGGGAAGCTTTTAGGTGTCTCGCAGTATTATAAAAAATCTGTAACACTGCAAGATCTAATTTTGAGTAATAATTTTAAACAGGTACAACTTTAAGAGTGTGTTATCTTCAAGCGTAACATTAATACGTGCTACAGAATTAGCATGAAAAATAATAAAGACAAATATTATTATTGGATTTGTATTTTAAATTTGAAATTCTTACAACTATTTATGAATATTCATTTTATTCGCGTTGGTATTTGCATTTTTTGAAAGTCGCACGATTATAAAAAGATTCGGATTGTGAAAAATGTGCGTATTGTAGTGAATATAATACGAGTAATGCATGGTGTCAGGCATGAATATTTAATGATCGATCAATTATCGACTGACCATATTCAAAAAAAATTGTATGATCGGTTACGATCAAACAAATGATCGATCATTTCCTAAATCATCTCTATTTGTTCGTGGAGAATATGCAGGTGATGTAGGACTGCGAAAAAAAAATTAATTAGATTTTTTCGATAACTAATGATTAATGCTTAAATAAAATACAAACCTATAGCGCGGAGATGACGGTGAAGCAGAATTTATTGACGAAGATCCAATTGTTGGACTATATGTAGCTGCATTGAGACCGGGAGCTGCAGTGATTGATGATACAGGGCTATACGATGAGCTTGCAGTTGGGGTGTAATTAGCAGTAGTACTTGGCGATGATGGCGTATATACAGGAGAAGTTGGACTAATAAAATGCATATTATGATCGTCAGTTACTTACAACTACTAATTAATGAAAAGTATATAAACTTACGAATAAGATGGTGACGTTGGAGAGTAATGAGGTGATGTTGGAGAATACGTTGGAGACGTAGGTGAATATGTTGGAGATGTGGGTGTATAATTAGGTGACGTTGGTGAATATCGTGGAGAGGTTGGCGAATAATTGGGTGAAGTTGGAGAATAACTTGGAGAAGTAGGTGAATATCTCGGTGAAGTAGGAGTATAGTTGGGTGAGGTAGGTGAATAGCTTGGGGATGTTGGTGAATAGCTTGGAGATGTCGGCGAATAGCTTGGGGAGTTCGGAGAATAACTAGGGCTTGTTGCCGGTCGATTATAGTTTGATGGGGTTGCAGAATAATTACCAATAGACGCAATCATATAACCACTAGGTTGAGGACTAGTTGGTGAATAGTGAGGACTAGTTGGACTATATGCAGGACTTTGCGGAGTAAATGCAGGTGCCGGAGAATGAGCGAAGGGTGCTCCCGGTGAACTTGGAGAATAAGTCGGTGATGAAGGACCATAAATAGGACTTTCTGAAGTATATGGGCTTGACCACGGATAACTTTGCCCAACAGTAATGGGTTTTGTACCTCCAAGTTCAAGAACAGGCGAAAATGCCGGTGAAGAAGGGACATAGTTATATTGTGGTGATACACTACCATACATTGGAGACATCATATGCGAAGGAGTTCGATTACCAAGAGAATATGGTGTCATAGGTACATTCATAGCATGTGAAGGAGTCATGCTACCCAATTGACGTCGTGTTTCAGACATGCCAAATGGAATTCCAGCTTTTGCACTTTCACTAGACGGTGCGGTTGTTTTCAGCATATCCTGATCAAGATATATATCAAATTCCCCGGTTCCTAGAGGTGCAACTTGTCCTAACATTATATTTTCCGCCACCCCTCTACAATCATCAACTTCTCCAGCAGCAGCTGCCTCCATTAATATCTCTACTGTCTCTTCAAAAGAACACCTCATTAAAGCGCCGGTTTCAGCACGGTTTATTCCATGCCGGGTAATCGCCATTAAATGACCACGAGAAGTCATCACATCACATAAAAGAGCCAAATGACGATAATTAACATACGACCCATCAAATTGTATAACATCTCGAAGTTCTTTCAACAACGCAGCTCGTGTCGCCTCAATACCTAAAACTTGCATAATTTCTACACAATTATTGGAGTAAGTGCGCCTATAATCTACGTGGTCGACGTTTAGCACTTCTTGCAAGTTTGTGCCATCAGTTTCAAGTATTGTCTCATCCTCTTTGATTATTTTACCCGTGTCGTTAATGGAAATGCGAGTTTTTTTACTTTCGGTCAAATAAACACGATTAATTCCTTTAATACCACGAAGACCAATAGTTGTCAACATATTATTTTCGACACGTTTTAAAAACACATCTTCTTCAATCTTGTGACCGGAGTCATCTGTACTTTCTTTGTCAATACCAGGTGCAATTTTAATTCGACAGCGAATAACTTTCAATTCAGAATTGTCGTCATTCCATATAGCATGAATATCATCCTTAAAACTTTGCTGTATTTTGCGTCCAACCATATCCATTTGAAGCTTTTTATCAAGCATCACACCATGATTGAGTTCAAAACGTAAAACCCAAGGAGACTGGTAGCCACCTTCATCAGATTCCTCACTTTCTTCCATTTCATAATACAATTCAACGAAATCTTTATCTGCTTCAATATTAGAACTATGAAGACTAGGATCATACCATATCTCCGTGCGTTGTGTTACAGTCTTCAAAGTAGTGTACTCTATCGCGCTTTGGATTTCTTTGGCAGCCTCCATTGAATGGGAATATTCACCCGTGAGGAACACATGGAGGGAAGGTGTTTTTATGTTTTTGGCAACATTAATAATTTCTTTAAGACGAGGAACACCAAGTGTGACGTTTTTACTTGCAACACCGGCATAATGGAAAGTGTTCAATGTCATTTGTGTAGCAGGTTCTCCAATAGACTGCGCGGCAACTGTTCCAACCATTTCTCCGGGAGAAACAAGAGATTTCCGGAACCTTGATTCGACTTCACCTAAAACCCATTTTAGAGCTTGAGAATTGAGATGGAATTCTTCAATTACACGTCGACTTGCTAACCATGATCTTAATAAGATTTTAAACAATGTAGTTGCGTTCGTCTGTGCTTCATGACTGATTTGATCATTTCCTTTAACTACCAATAGTCTCGACATAACTTCTTCAACACTGTTAATTACTTCATGGTATTGCAAATCAGTAGTAGTCCAGCGTGAAGGTCTAATGTTGAACTTTTGTTGGGCATTTTTAATAAGACGTTTAATATTAACAGGTAACGGCCACTTATTATCACCGTTTGTAAAAATGTCTCGTTGCAGCATTTCACGATCTCGTTTTAATTGCATATATTCTTCAACAATTTTTTCTCTAATTATTTCTTGCTGAGTTTTAGGCTTCTTTGGTTGAACTAAATCGTTGTCATCCTGTTGGCTGGTCTCTTTTTCTTTATTCTTTTCGTCATCTTTAGTGAGTTCTATGAGATATTTGTTATCAAATTCTGAATTACTCATTGGTAAAGTATCAAAAGTCTGTGGCTCAACGAAACATGCATCCATCCCATCCTCTCCATAACAAAATTGAACAATGTCGCCGAGAGAATTACGAACTGTCCCGTCGTATTTAACCATCACATCTTCCAAGGCTTTCACCAAACGACGTTGAATATAACCGGTTTCAGCAGTTTTTACAGCAGTGTCGATTAAACCTTCACGTCCACCCATAGCGTGAAAGAAAAATTCCTGTGGTGTTAAACCACGAAGGTAACAATTTTCGACAAATCCACGACTTTCTGGGCTATGGTCATCCTTTGTAAAATGTGGCAAAGTACGGAATTTAAATCCGAACGGTATACGTTTGCCCTCAACGTTCTGCTGACCGACACAAGCTGTCATTTGTGAAATATTAATAAAGGAACCTTTCGAGCCAGCAATAACCATTTGTTTGACATTATTTTCTTCTTTTAAACTTTGTTCCGCGCTTTTTCCAGCAGCATCACGAGCAGTATTTAGTTCTTTATTGACTCTATGTTCAAATGTTTCCCGTATAGTCATACCAGGAGCACACTCTAATTTGTCCTGTTGTGCCTCCACAATAATTTCAGCTACACGTGATTTGGCATTACTAATTGTATTAGTAATATTTTTCATTGTTTCGTCATCAGCGATCGTATCACCAATGCCAATACTAAACCCATTTTGTAGCAACCATTGGTTGACAACAGCTTGACATCCGTTTAAAAAGTCCTTTGCTTTTTCAGGCCCTAATTCATTCATAATAACATGAACTAAACCTTGATGTGTCGCACCAACTGTCTTTTTACACACGATACCACAAAGTAGCTCTCCATCCTCTATCAAAACTTTAGTATCACCTGGAGAAATATCTGAATGTTCATTTTCAGGGTGACCTGAATGGCGTAAATTGTCCGAGTTTATACCTTTAGGAATAATCATACTTAGAATTTGTTTACCAGTCCATAAAGGAATGGGTTTTAAGATACACGGAATCGGAAGACGACCATCCCAATCTAATACCCACATCAAAATGTTCATTACCAAATCTTTTGATAAAAAACAATCTCGCTTAGTGAATTTTCGAACAGCACATAAAGTATCCTGGACGATACCCATTACGGGTTTGTTTGATTGGGGAGACACTACTTGTTTAGGTACCATGCAAATTTCAGAAATCTCTGCTTTAGTCTCTACAGATTGAGGAACATGCATATTCATTTCATCACCATCAAAATCAGCATTATAAGGAGTTGTGACTGATAAATTCAGGCGGAAAGTAGAATAGGGCATGACACGGACTCTATGTCCCATCATTGACATTTTGTGAAGCGAAGGTTGACGATTAAAAATAATTATATCTCCATCATTAAGATGGCGTTCAACCTTCCACCCTAGTTGTAACCGTACACCGCCGCTCATACCCGATGTATGCTTGAGATCAATTCGTTCACCAGTATCCCTTATAACATATTTAGCTCCCGGATGCACAGAAGGACCATTTTCCACTAATCCTTGGAGAAGATCAATGTTGAACGGTGTAACCAATTCCGGAAAGGTTAAGTTTTGGGCAATGCTTTTCGGAACACCGACTTGATCTACAGATATATTTGGATCACCAGTAATGACAGTACGAGCGGAAAAGTCAACACGCTTTCCCATTAAATTTCCACGTAAACGACCTTCTTTACCCTTAAGACGTGCACGGATCGATTTTAGGGGTCTCCCAGACTTTTGAAGAGCTTGAGGTTGGCCAGCCATTTCATTATCCATATATGTTGCACAGTGAAACTAAAGAAAAATGGAAATAAATATTATACATATATTTAGCAAAACAAATAAATTAATGTACCTGTAGCAATGCTTCGAATTCATTGACAACGTGAGCAGGGTGTCCCTCGGCTTCATAACGTTTAACATTTTGATTAGCCTTCAATATATCGGCTAACTTATGTGTCAAATCGTCTTCACCTCTACTAGTTCCGTCCATTTGAATGCTTGGACGAACAGGTGGTGGTGGAACTGGAAGAATTGTGATTATCATCCAGTCCGGTCTAGCATATTCTCCATTCAAGCCCATATCTTTAAGATCTTGAGGAGAGATCTTTTTTAAAATTTGATGTACATCACCTGGAGTAAGTGGCTTTCGTGTATCTTGAGATTGTTCCTATGAAATATGCGCAAAGAATTGAAATTAACATCAAAATCGAATGACTATATTAATTTTTTAAGTAACTTACATCACTGTCCTTGTTACTTTTATAATTTACGTATAATTTCAATCCTTCCTTACGGATTGTAGGCTGTTTATGACCACAACCCCCGTGTGGTTTCTTTTTTCTGACCAGACCTAAATCTTCATCGGTGGTTTGTTGCTGCTGTTTAGAAGGAGCACTTTGAACATAATCCTCATAATCAGAACCTTTATCATCTTGATCTGCTTCCTCGCCACGTTCGCATGTAGTTTTTGACTTGCATATATCCCATACGGCCTTGAGACGGCGCTTCGGGTCCCTAATTTTGCGTGCTTGAACAAATTTTGCGTTTGACTAAACATTATAGTATGTGATTTATATGTGAATTATAGAATTTCATCTAATCAAAGTCAGTATGAACAATATAAACAATGGATGACTCACGTCGTCTGTCTTTAACTTCGAGCAATTAATACAGATACACTCAAGGATTTTTTTCACTTTAGGTAGAAATCCTATTTATATTAAATGCGGCAATCATTGGAGTACAATATTAATGTATATAATATACGATATAAAATATTATAATATTTGTTTTAGAAAAGAAAGAGACATGATGACATACCAACATGAAAAACTGGCTTAGCCAATTCTATGTGGCCAAAGTGGCCAGGACATTCAGACATGCCTTCACCACAAGTCTGACATTTAAAATTTCTGTCGATAGTACCCATACGAGAGTCCAATAAACCGCCTTGTTTTGGTCTGTGTCCAGTTTCATCCATAGTTTCAGGATGCTCAATTAGAGCGACCGACATTTGTTTCTGTAAATGTCAGTAACAAGCAGAGAAAGAGAGTCAAATATGTTCTAAACCTTTATTTCCAATTCTTGACTAAGCAAGTTTTCTAACTCTCAAAAGAAAGTAAACATACAATTTCGTCTGGTGACAAAATTCCAAACTGTACGTATTTAACCCGCCGAAGCGGCGCGGACGAGTATGCAAACTGATGTCCATTCATATTGACTATTGATCTTAGTGAAATACTTTAAAAAAAAATACTAAGACTGCCAAAAACGAATGAAAAAGCCAGGAGAAATTATTTGTATTTCTCAACTTCCCAGAAAAAAGACGAAATTTGTAAAGTCTGGGAAGAAGTGAAAACTACAACGATTATTATAGATATAAAATTTGCATGTTTATATACTGATTACTATTGATGACGGTCTATCAACAATTTTATGTATAAAAATGAAATGAACAAATAACATCGAATGACTGAGGGATGACAATATAAAAAGTAATAATATACCGTCTTCATTATAGTAAAATAGTATAAATAAATGGGGTCCACTATATGTATGCCAAGACGCGTTGTACAATCCAAGTCACACGGTCAGGGGTAGACTCGAAGAATATATATAAAGGGCTGCCATTTTTTTTCTCCAAAACGTATTTGCTTGACCACTTTAATTGAAATTGGGGGGTTTTTTTTTTTTTCTTTTTAATTTATTTATTTAAAATGCTTCCACTTTGCTATCGCTATTAATTTTGCCTAACTTTCTGTTCGCTATCGCGGCCACATTTTATATACCAATCTTAAGTTTTTGTTAAATGATTTCAAATGTACTTGCGAAATATTTTGTTGCATCATTACTAGAAACTGGTGAGTTAGGGTTGCTGCGTACGCAACAATAAGGCTTTGTTAGGCTGATAATGATGCCATGTGTAGTTATGACTAGCAAATTATCTGACTAATCATGACACAATCAAGTTTCACAGCTGTTTCAAAGAGCCATATCGATATGTGAGTGTAGCAATGGATTAATCATGAATGCATTTCAAATCATATGATATTTTATAACGTTTTTGTAACAAAGTATCAGTATCAGTATACACGTACGTACGTACAAATATTTTTATAAAACCAAAATTTGAATAATTTTGTGTTAAATAAAAATTATATAATCTAAGGTAATTTGGCGAAGTTAAAATTTATCAAAATTCGCCAATAGTAAGATTTGATTAAAATATTATAATTACAAAATTTTATTTCGAAATAATATAATTCTAAAATCAATCAAAAGGCAGGTTGACTTATATTCGCACAACTTCTAAGTACTAAGTAACTTCAACGGTCGACAAATAACATAAAATTAACTATAAATGGGAATAGTTATCAGTATATCGATGTGCATTAATATCATAATTCCTGGAACACATAAAATTAGCCGAATGATTTTTCGGCCGATTTCGGCATAATAGAATCAATAAATTAATGAGCATAGAGGGCTTTCATTATGATTGGCTAATTTTTGTAGATCATTTTGTGACATAACAAAATCTGATTGGCTAATAGAAAATAAGTTCAAAGTAAAAAATTCGTTAATACAGAATATTCAAATTATAAATTTTTATTCATAATGATAATATTTAATGCTTGGATCCCAATAGTTATTGTCAATTGTGCATCTGGTTAAACTTAATAATTTAAAAAACATAACATCTTTAATTTATTGATACAATTACATATGTAGATAATCTTTATTGACTAAATCGCTTGCTAACTAGTACAGTTAAATAATTTAAATAATTTACCAAAATAATAATATAATAAATTATAGAACCGTCAATTAATAATATATAGGTAGAATATACGCTCATAGAGAGTATAAACAGTACGTATAAAAACCCAAAATTAACTACAGAAACATTACGCATAATCGTACATGTTCTATACTATTCTATATTTAATATGCCTTAAAACTTGATCGAATAATCTATACTCAGAAAAAAAAAAACAACTATTAGCAATACTGTTTGAACCGTTATTTGTAAATTAATAAGTTAAAAAAAAAATAGTAACACTTATTAGCCAAAGTGTAATTTACCTCGCCGATTACTGGATTACTTTAGCCCATATGGCAAAAGTACACCCCGTAGCTAACTTCCGAATTACTTCTCTGTTCTCCGAATTATTTTTACCGTATATAATGTGAGAAGTGTAGTTTCTGAATATGTACTCGGTTTCGTTCTACAATTCGTTTTCATGTCATACAATTCGTTTAAAGTCAGATGATATATGCAGTGATATGTAACGATACATTTAATGATTGACCAATCAGAATTAAAGCCCTCTATGCTAAATTAATGTACGTACGTACGTAATAAATTTTATACGTAAGACTACACACTTAGAAGGCTTGGTAATTCGAAAAATTGCCAAACACTTACTGTAGGTGTTAGCAAACCTTTTTTAAGTCAATGGATGTATTGAAAAAATTTCCGTATCACATTTCGACAATATTAACTTTTTGGAATATCGAATTATTTTCGACAATATTAACATCGAATTACATTTTTGAACCAGTCGATAAATTCTCGATCATATCTAACTTTTAATATTAGCACCTATTCAATATATTTATTGTAAAAATCTAATTTATACACAGTGCCTTTTTTATATTTCTTGTCAAAATTTATTGGTTTACTTATCCATAAATTTTCGTGCAAACTAAATATACCAAATATGTTGAGCGAGTATTCAAACGAAAAGTTAATAACTTGAATATATTTAAAAAATATAATGATAAAATTAACTATATCGATATCTTTTATATACTGATAATGCCGAAATCACAAATCATAAGACCCTAGCGTCACCAACTTAAAAAATTTCACTAAAAAAATTTCGCAGTTAAATTAAGGTTAAGTTTTGCTATTAAGTTAGGTTAAAGAAAATTTTCCTAATATCAAAATTTCGCAAGGAAAACTTTTTGTTAATGTGCAGAAAGCAATTTCATAGAGTTATGAACGATTTTTTGGTTTGTTTTGATTTTTTCCGTTTTTTCGTGTTACACCGGATCTTGAATTCTGATTGGCTGGCGAAATAGTAGCGAAATTTTTTAGGGTGGTGATGCTAGGGGGGTTAAAAATCATCGGCTAATTTTTATCAGGTGTTTCAGGAATTATGATAATAGCTGTAATCCGAATACAAAACCGGTTTAACCGAATATCGATATCGATATTAAACAATACTGTATTATGATTACACAGAGCGTTAATTGTCTGGAGCGAAGCGGAGGACTCATACTTCTATGCGCTTTGATGACTGAAATTACGATTTTGATGCATCTATAATAAAAAGATCAAAAAAGTAGTTTCGGCATTTTCCGTCTGTAACGCCGCGTGTCTATATTTGTACATTGTGTAAAAAAAATTATGCACGTTTACGCGTTTGTGTAAGATGACAATAATGAGCTCCGGACTTTAACCGGTTTCCGGTTCCTAGTTTATTATACTTTGTATAAGGTTTATCGTTATATAGAAAGTAATTAATTATAGTTTATTTTTCAATTATATAATATAAAATGCGTCTATAGTGTTTATGGTGTTAAGATTTTGCTAAAATTTAGAGTTAGGTTGCAGCTATAGAGGTTAGATATAAATGTTTAAATTTTAGTTAGTATAGTACTGGATAGTAAAATGCATCCAATATTTATTAGTAAAAACTTTAAAGTGTTATAACATTTTTAAAACAAGCTACCTAAATCAAAAAACCCTCTGACAAATTGATAGATTTTTAGATAAACTACATTTTTGTCAGAGGGTTTATTCTTTGTTTTGAAAAAATTATAAAGGATTAAAGTTTGTATAAGTTTAAAAAATTAGTATTTAATATAGAAAAAAAGAAAACATATATTTTTAACTAATTAGAATCAATTACACAAAAATTAGCCAATTAGAATTGATTATATAAGCATCAAAAATTGGTGCCTTTATATATAGATTGGATGTCTTTTACTGTCCTATACTATATAAAGTTTTAAAGTTTTAAACATTTTTTTTTTCTTTGACAATTCTGTTTATTTTATTATGAAAACAGACTTTTATTCTTACATTAGCATATGAAAAATCTAAATCTATAATGTTTTAATCAAAAGATAAACTTACCCATGGTGTATCTTGCAGGTGCTGAAAAACCTATTTGTAGTCAGGATGAATTATTAAACCACTATATTTTGTCCAAATGTAATCTGCCTAGTGAATGGTTAGCTTCCTTCATAGATCTGAAACTTAATCCAGATTTATTTTCTTCAAATTTCTTGTCTGGCTGTTGTGTTTCTCTATCAAGATTCCCATTCTACAATAGAATGTTATCAAACTGATAACACTTTTTTATAGAGAAAGAAAAAAGAAAAAAAAGAATAATAGAAAATGAAAAAAGGGTAGTAATAAAAACTAATACATCAAAAAAAATGGATACTAATACTAAAGAATATAAAAACTAACTAAAACCTAAAAAAAAAAAACTGATAATAATCACAACTTTTTTTAATGATCACTTGAACCAAGACCACATCAAAACAGTTTAAAGATTCAAGGTCTTAAAAAGTCTAAAGATACTTGAGGTTCCTTATTGGTGCTGTTGCTGATAAAGACTTATACGTAAAATACTGAGAAGTAAACGTATATAGTTGGTTTGTGCTCTGGGTCAAGCTTTTCTTCTTGGTAGACTCCCTTGCACATTCAGTATCTAAGCCAAAGGGTTATTTTGATAACAGTAATGGTAAAAAACTCATGACTTAAGTATTTAAAGCTTTTTAGTTCTATAAAAAACAATTGAAAACACTTTCATTGTCTTGAGCTTTTGCAAATACAGTATTTTTCTTTTCAATACTTTTGGCTATAATTTTTGACAAAAAGTGGAGAATTTGACATATCCTCTCCAAAAGATCAGCAATGTTTATCACTTTCATATCGAAAAACTCTGCATGATGACAAACAATACATACAAAATAGACAGTACTGGTGAATTTAGTAACTGAATGAGTATTCGGAAGAATACCTTATATATCGTGTTGAGGACATACAAACACGTGATTATTGGATAGAACAGGTGGAGATTTCAAAATTCTTATACTTTCGGATGAAGATATGGATTTAATTGAAAGAATAAAGCAAAGTGAGAGAGATATACAAGTATCCTCTAGTTATCTATATATAATTTTTAGTCTCTGG